GCCAAAGAATCAATAAAAAACCCACTCAATAAAATCACCACGATAAATTTGAAGTAATAAACCACCAACACGAACGTAATCAATGTTGGATAAATCTAGCTGACCCTAAACGTTACTGTAATTACACCAATCAGAGGTCATTTCAAACAGCAAGATTTATTACCTTCCGCAATTGCTGGTGCGCTTCAAGAAAAAACATTTCAATGGTGGAAGGATTTTCCAGGCACAAAATGGAATCGACGAAAAATCTGGAACGGCGCGTATTAATGCGTAACATTATCGCGCAAAAGTTGATAGAATCCCTGCAAGAGTGCCTTTCATTTCCTACTTCCGGTGAGGAAAAAATGACGCAATTTCAATTTATTGGCGAGACCACCCAATCGTAAGTATAACTGCGCCCTAATATTTCGCTATTCGTGGTAAATGTGTGAAGTGAAAACTTTCACAGAGAGTAACAATGTCTTACATTGTCACTGTCTCTGTGCTGGCCCTCTCGCCCCCCCCACCCTCTCCTATACTTTAAATTGAGTTACTGGACAAAACTTACGGATTCTGTCCAAAGCCAATCCAGCTACACAATGAAACGTTCAAAAAATGGTATTGCAAACCATTGAAATGAAAATGTTACAAAGACAAAAATTGACGTCGTACTTTACTTTTACGCACGTATAACTTACATGTTAGGGCACGTTCATACTTCATGATTGAGTCGCTCTGACCATGCGACCGAACTGCGAAGTATGAACGCGTTCTTAGGATTCGGTGCATACTTTGCAGTAGCGTTCTGAGCGTTCACTAGCGTTTTGAGCGATCAGGAAAGTATAGGTATCGATCCACCTAGCGTTTTAAGCATCCGCTACCGTCTTCACTTCTTATGCTTTCTCACTCGCTCAAAGTGCTCAAAAAAAAACGCTCGCGGACGCTCAATTTGCTGGATCGCACGTATACTTCCCTTGCCGCTGAAAACGGTGGACGCTGTAAAGTATGCACGCAGTATTGCAGCAATCCTGGTCGTCACTGCTGCTCAATAAAAAGCATTCAAAGGTAAATAAGCAAATAAATAAGAATAATAATATCGTTAGCCCTTTGTTTCCCTTTCTTTCGACAGTTGACAGTTCACTTTGGAAATTTTTTCCGCGGGTGTACCTCAAGATGAGGACTTCCTTGGAGCAACAAGAAACAAACATTTATGTGGTGTCATTTTCGCCATAAAATTGTTTTGAAAACATTCGCTTACCGAACATTATGCGTCAGCTGCTTTGTCACTTGGAAATTCGTAATCGAGTAGATTTTTCCCAGGTTGTAGCCAGTGATAGTGATCCCTGGAAACGTCAGCTTTAGTGACAGTATAGCTGCAAAATGACGCTCTGAAACGAAGGGAAACTTTCAGAGTAACATGGGAACACTAAGCCTCACCAGTACAAGGTTAGGATTAATCATGTTGTGGGAGACCATGTGCTTTGTCTCTTAATCTTGGTGACCTCGCTGGTCCGCACTCCGCCTAACTGTAGGGCTTAAGCTTCGTAGGGAGGGGAATGGCAGGGGTGGCCAGGCGGTCGCGGCCGACATTGCACCGTCTCCTTGAAATATTTAGGCGCCAAAATTTCTTATCAGCGGAACAACATGAACACTGATGGTATGCGTGACTAATCAGTCTTGACACCACAATCAAGACAAGATCTCCACCCCATCCACATTATCGCAGTAGATAGGACCTAAAGACGCACGCAGAAACGCCGAAAAAGTATTCGGCCATCACAAAATACATCATTGCTTGAGATAAACCGCAATCATACTTGCGGAATGTGTGATGCGCGCTCGTCGTCACGCCCGCCGCCCGCGCCCACCACCCGCGGCACTCTCTCCACGCCAGCCCACTCCCACGCCTGCGCCACGCTCCCGCGCGCCGCGCATCCGCAGCACTCCCCCAACTCCTCCCGACCCACCCCGAAGTCCCCGCAAAGACCTCCTGTGGATCGAGGGAGACGGGCAACAGTCGCGCCCACGCAACCCTGCCGCCTCTTGTCGGCCGCCGCCCGCCACCCACCATCGGCCGCCGACGTTGTCCCCTCAATTTACCCGTACTTTTGTAGCTCCCGCATCTATCTCTCACAGCATCCGCGCCGCGCCGTTGGACGCGCGCGGCGCCCTTCTGGCCATTTTGCCATCCTTGGTTATCCGCACTTTCTAACGGCGATTGGGGCGCAAACCTCGCGCCGTTGGACTTCAGTTGAAGAGCAGAAAGCTTTTTTGAGTTCCATACACCTCACAAACGCGATTTGAATGAGAAGGACGAGGGAGCACTTGTAGATAGTAATGGATAGGTGAATCATGCAGCGAGAGCGTTTGCAGTGACACGAGGATACGATACACGGGTAATACTATACAACCTATCATACTGAATACTATTCAATTATACTAATCCCCGCTTTAGAACACGAAAGCTTTGCTCGGAGAATCGCCTGCACAGGGGGTTAGCTCAGATGCCATGATAAAGAGCGCGACAGTTCGTTTTATTCACTCGCTCGACACTCGTGCCCGTTAAGAGGCCACTTGAAGGCCGTCCCAACTTTGTCACAACACTGTCTCTTTACAGAAATCGTGATGAAGAAATTCGGATGCATATGGATGCTATCTAAACGAAGCCGAGGTAACCTCTTTGAATAACTTTCCCGCGCGCACCCCTTCGAGTGTCTGTCATTGGAGCGCGCTATTTCGCAATCACTACTATTCCGTTGGCGGTCTACTTACATTAGTAGCTACTGTTGTAACGCTTAAAATGACAGTACACCAATGAATACAGGAAAAAGTGAACACTCGTCAAACTGGAAAATACGCGCATTTCGTGCATTATGCGAGTACGAACATGAGATATGATAACGAGCGTACAAAAACGTGTGACCAACAACGTACCATATCGTATAGAAACCTAGTTATTGTAAATACAGTCCAGGCGTTTGAACCGATCTTGAAAGGCGTTCGAAGCGAGGTGTGTTCGAACATAGTTTGGTCTTCATATGCATCCCACCGCCTGTTTGGTCCTAGGACCCACTGCATCTTTTCCAGCAGGTCTGTGTGCCGCAACTTCAGTTTCGTTTCGCCCCATAGAAACTCAGTTTTCAGACGATCGACTTAGCAAATTCAGCATCATCGAAAGCGCCGTATTAGTGAATGCCCTCATCTCCACCTGCCTGTCATGAAAGTATCGGATTTGGAAGCGCTTTTCCGCCTCAGAAATTTCGATGATCCCCATTACCATACTAACAGTCGCTCGTTGAGCGAACTATCCCCGCTTCTTTCTCCCAGCTTTTGTCAGTTTTTCCAAGCGTGGTAATTAGCTGTCGAGGCTTCATGATTGTTCCCTTCAATTGCTGTCTTTGTTCCACCATTTCTCATCCAACGCTTCGCAAGTTTCGTTATTTTACAGTAGTCCATCACACCAATACCTTATGCTGTACATCCAATGCGTTTTGAAGAACTTAGTGAAACCAGTGAGATACCCTATTTGGATTGTGATAGCATTGGACGTCCCTTGAACAGGGTACAGCGTCGCTGTGTGAAACACATAGGGGGGGGGTCGTACCGTCCTGCTGAGGAGAGGGGTCGTAAATGGTCGTTGGGAGAGGAGGGTCGTATGTGTGGTTGAGAGAAATTTGCCGCGTTGGGAAAAATATTTTTCTTGATTGTTGAGTTTTCACGTGGTTTTTTTAAATGTTTCATGTGTATTATATACCCCTCCCGTTGGACGTAAAATTTTTGGGTGAAAAACAAGAAAATATGGGAAATTGGCAGGTAGGTGCTGCGGAGGGGGGAGGGCGTTGTACCGAGACCCTCATTTAGGTGGGGGAGGTCGTACTGACACCCTCTCTGTGAGGGAGGGGGGTCGTACCTAAACCACCATTTCACACATCACGATGCTGTACCTTGCCCTTGAAGTTCCCTTTTTCAAACTTCCGGGCGTGAGAAGAATTTTAGTTGATCTTCCTCAATTGCGACTCTGTCACTACAAGTTATTAATCATTACTGAGTGGTTGCAGTAATCAGTGATACAATCAGAATATATTGCAATCGATGAACAAATCTGAACAAAGTACAACAACTCTTGTGAACCTCCGTCCCCGCGGTTGTGTACGGCCCATAAAATAGTGCGCCCCAATGAAGTCGATTCAAACGGGTGCGCGCGGGATAGTTATTCAAAGAGGTTACCTCGGCTTCGTTTAGATAGCATCCAGAATATCTTGTGCTCAGATGTCTGATATCGATCGGCCTCTGCCACTAGGGGCGGCACTGATCGATCCTTCGGCCTGCAACTGCATTTGAGTCTTTAGGGACTTGGATAGCCGCTACAACATCGTAGCGCGTTGACGTCCGTTACAGCGAACAGTCGCGCATTGTCGCGAAGTCTAAATGTGCTCACGCCTGAAGAATGAAGGAGCTCCGCTGATGTGAGAGGGAGAAAACTTTACACTTTCTAGAACTACGTATACTTCGGCGAAAAATTAATCCTGGCCGTTAATCCACAGTAATAATGAAATGTCTGCAGCGATTTTAGGTGCTTTGAGAGCTCCGCGCCAATACCGCACCTAACTATATCCCGAATTGCACTTCTAGCAAGTGTAACTTCTAGCTTTTCTTGACGTTAAGGAAGGCTAGTCCAGAAATTCTTCAGAAAACATTCTAAATAGCGCGAAAATGAGGCACAAGCGAAACTGGATGATACGCCCTTTCAGCACACGCTGTACTCTAGGCAAATTCAGCACAAATGTGCCTCAAGTATAACTGGTGGAAATAGGAACCACTGTTCTCTCAAAAAGATGGCTTAGATCACATGGAATCAAACTGTGGAAGGCTAGGACTAACTAACCGGTCCAAATGCGAATCCTTTAGTCTTGATACCGCTGATCTCAGGATTCATTTGTTTTCTTAGCGGATCGCAAGCAGGAATGTCCACTCGTCGTACTTTTCCAAAAGATTCCATCGCAGTTTTCAAAATGTCTTCACTTGGAAGTTCGGAACCCTTCTCCTGAACAAAGAACATCTGCAGTGAAGGTGACCCGATAATTGATGAAACAAAAGGAACATACAGAAAACCACTTGATGGGCACTTTGGCAAGGTAGATTGTATCGGGACGTTCACCTGGCTTGTTCTCGTTGAGCTTGTTCTTCATAAAGAAAATATCCCAATCATGCCGACTGAAAACTTGGACGTTTTGCCGAGAACACATTATCAGAAA